TTAACTGCATCTTCACTACTAACCTACAACATCGTAAGTTTGTGACAGTTAGAAAAAACACAAAGCTTTCAAGCTAAATTTCTATGTAGAAGAAGGTAATCACATGTACTTACTTCAAGAACTTTGTCCATTACATCCATGTCCAATATGTCTGGTTTGAATCCAACACCATTTCCAGTTATATGATGAGGACCTGTATATATGGACCACATCAGAATTTGCGATAACTATTTTCATTATTTTCTACCGTTATTTTAACCATCTTTTACATCTATATTTCTAAAAAATCACTTCACAGATACCAATAATGACTAAGAAATGAACTATGATATTTACCTGGTTTACCACCATTGAGCACATTACTTTCAGATGGCTCTACTCCGTATATCTGATAAGATTGAAAACATTTCAAAGGATTCATTAAGAGTATCTAACAGAACAGTGTTTAGTTTGTAATTTTAATTGTGATATGAAGAAAATCACCTTAACGTTGGGGTTTCGGGATTTAAGATATTGTCCAACCCCAGAAACTAGGGGTGGACAGCTTTTGATAAAACCGTGAATATCCAACCGACCCACCATAACCGTTTACATGCGGTCGGTTTTAAAATGGGTGTCGGATTAACATGTTGATTTAAACCAGTTTCTAATGGTTTATACCGGTTCGGTTCGGTTGAGACAATCTAACCCAAAATTAACCGAATCCGATCGCTATAATATATGAACTGGTTTGAACTTTTTGTAAAGCCCATTAAACATACCCTTCATGTACTATATCTAAACAGTATATAAATTAAAAACTCTAGCCGTCTGGTACCCTTCATTGTTTACTTCATCTTCTCCACAGTTTATCCTTCTTCTCTATTTCAAATACCTTTCATTGGTAATTTCATCTTCTCCACCATTTATCCTTCTTCTCTATTTCAAATAGAACATAATGATTCTGGAAATCTTTGTACCCATGGATGCTGACTTAATATCCATTATTTCAAAGAACACCACCACTATATTTAGCTTACATATTCTCTTCTTTACCTCACCTCAAACTTACTGTGTTTGATTTGTTGTTTACCCAATTTATTTGAAAAAACATTTCTCAAATCTTTGCAAAGCAGATAATGTAAAAATTTCCAGATTTTTTTCCAAATCTCCTTGCAATTTTGTAGCAGTGAAAATAATTTTGCGATAATTCCCAAATGTTTTCCCGGATCTATCTTTAAAAACTCTAATAAAACATTGGTAGCTTATGTTTTAAAAAACATTTAATTTTTAATTTTTAATCGCAGCTTTTTAAATAGATTATCGATTAAACCGAACCGACAACTGTTCAATCCGACAAACCGTAAACCAACGAAACCGAAGATTTAAATGGTCGAAATTGGATGTTCATTATAGATCCGCGGTTTAGGTTGGATTGGATTTTTGGACCCGAATTCAATCCAATCCGACCGTTGTCCAACCCTACCAGAAACTGTGCCACCGCTACCTATTCCCATAACAAAAATGCCCACTTGTCTGTTTGTATCCTCCCATATCTCCGGACCTGTTGTTTCAAAATGCACCTGTTTTCCAATTTTATAGTAAATTAGATATAAACTCGCCAAAATATCAAAGATTTCAGAACTGTATTGCCAACTGCAGATTGCAAAAAATAGCTATTGGTTTGAACTCTGATACATAACAGTGCCATAGAGGCGCTATAACCACTATATGACAAAACTTGTACTGAAGGCATATCGCGGAACAATAGTGATTTGAAACAAGACTGTTTTGAACCGAAATAGTAATTTAAGTTCTGTTAACCTTATACCTGAGTATTGGCTGGATTGGAAAATTGTTGCAGCATGAAAGCATCTGGTGTGGATTCCAAAAGATCGTAAGCCTTTTTAACTGTTCCACCGACAACTCAACCACGACACAAAACCCAGACCTCTGGGACTCGATCTCTCATCCGCGACACCATCTCCAAGCGCCATTGATACCGAACCCACCGCGAAGCCCCATCTATTCATCACATAGCCACACCCAAGGCCACCAGAATCTGGATAGGAGGACAACACCGTCGCCGAATCGGGTTTTGATCTAGGGTTCATTATGTTGTTGTTGTTTTAGGTGTGAGGTAAGAGAGACAGGAGATGAGGGAGAGAACACGAAGAAAAAATGTGGAAGGGAATAATGGACGGTGTGGCTTTTATATTTTTTGTTATTCAATTTTCGTTCTAGGCTTTACATCACCACAAATCCGCCCCACTCATCTTGTTCATTTACTCTTTTTTTTCTTCCTGCTGGTAATATGTTTGGGCCAGGCCCAATTGCTATCTGCGTACCCTTTTTAATAAGACGTGGCAATAATTGAGAGGACTAGTAATGAAAAATATTTTAAATTCCTGTGTTATACCCTAAGGGTGCAAGTGTGCAACAATGTATTTTTTCAGTTATGTTTATCTTGCAATTACTGTTCTACTGAATAATTGATTCTTGTCATGCACGCCTAAGTTAATAACAATTATATACAAGCATGTAAAGAAAAAGCGAGAAATAAAGTCCTACGCTATTACAGGGCTTTTATATAGATACATGAGTAATGAACGAAAAGTAAAAATGCGGAAATAAAACCCCTACGTTAGCTATTACAAACCGGGTGCAGTTACATAAGTGGTAAAAAAATCATCGTATGGAAAAAATAATAGCGCGCAAAATTTAGACGGGAAAAAGTTTTAAACCCTAAAAAAACTCAATTGCTCATTAAAAATATTTTTTGTATTTTATGAAAAATGTGTGATTTAAGCTAATTCTCTAATTAATTTTAATTAATGAAATAAGTCCAAATAATTAAGTCAAATTATTTTATTTATCAAAAATTAAATTTAATATAGAAAAACTAAGTTTATTATTTTTTTGGTGATTTTCTGATTTTATGAAGAAAAAAAATGAATTGACTAAATAATATAAAACTAAATAAAAAAAATAGAAATAAATAAATTGAGAAATGGGCCTGAAACAGGGGGTGTGAAACCCAAACTGGAGGAGGTGTTGTTGAATTGGTCTAAGCCCAAGTCTGGTTGGCCCACAACCTTGCGCCTGATCCCATGTTGTTATGGTATGGACGTCATGGTGTGCCTGCATGCTAGAGGCACTAGATCCAGAACCATGCAGATTTGATGGCTGGATCTGATGGTGCATGATGCGCGCCTGGGGGTGAGACCTATTGGATCTGCAAGAAACAAGTTAGAAAACATAAAATGTTAGACCTGGGACTCGAATCCAGTTCCTCTCCTTCCAGTGCGCTTCTTTCACCATCTAAGCCAAGTGGTCATTCACTTATACAAACAAACGCAAAATAATATAATCAAAATAAAATGGCCAGAAATCCTTTTTATAAAAAACGCGCGCTATTTCAAATGGCCCAACCAAGTTATGCCACGTCTTCATCTTCTTCAGTTGTCTGTCGTTTTAGCTCATGAACTTTTACCTACAGACTATATCTGTCATTAAAAATCTGCAAATCTCCAAAATTCACAACAGGAAATATAAATTTAATTTAAAGATATGAATCAATTTAGTTTGATCCCTTGAGCATGATGGTATTCTTTATGTAATAAATAATCTCTAGTAATAGTTTGATAAAAAATATATGTTTCATCTTAAGAATAATGATAAAAGAATAAACTATTTTTTATAAATTTTCTATTATAAAATAATTTACATGTGGTGTTTGTTATTCCATCATTAAGATATAAATATTAATTTTCAGTCAATAAAAAGAGCAGCGATTAATTATTTAAAATCGTTAATATATTTACCTATTAATCCAAAAACTATTTTTATAGGTTTTAATTTATGTATTAATTTATATCTTTATAAAATAACTATAGATAATTGGTTATTATTTTAAAAATATTTATAAAAAAAAAACCTATCAGTACAAATATTTAAATTTAGAAAAAATCTAAAAAAACTATTTAGTTCGTTATCTTAATTTTTAAAATTCAAAAAATATATTTTCCTTAAATATAATGTGAATTAAAATTTTGCATGTACTACTTAAGGTATCATAAAATAGGATTATTGATAGAGAAGTTTATATAATTCTTTAATTTCAATAGATCAAAAGTTTGGTTATTATTAATTATTAATGGTTATGAGAAATTATTCTTATTTCTCACCATAAAAATTTTATTTATTCATATTACTTATTGCAAGAGTTATTATTTTTTTAAATATTATTATTGATTTTTTCTTTAATATATCAAAATTTATGTAATTACCGAGATTTTAAAATATTTCTTTTCATATATATATATATATATATATATATATATATATATATATATATATATATATATATATATATATATATATATATATATATATATATATATATATATATATATATATATATATATATATATATATATATATATATATATATATATATATATATATATATATATATATATATATATATATATATATATATATATATATATATATATATAACATTATACCAAAAAGTTTATTTAATCAACTTATTTTTTAAGTTATAATTTATTTTGAATAGTATCATTAATTATTTAAATTTAATATATCTAATTTTACTTACTTACTTTGAGATTTTGAATTTTTTTTTCTTTAAATGAGACTTGGTAATTTTCATTTTTATAATATATGTTATCATATTACTATTAAATGCATATAAAATATATTTGTTTATTGTCATATTATCATATGTGTATCAAACATGTACATAATAGAAAAAATTAATTTTATTATAATATCATATCCTTTAAAATTTATTAAAACTTTTCCTAAAATAAAGTTTTGTTCTTATATTAGTGTTCTTTCGTGAAATTATTCCCCCCATTTTATTTTTAGATAGTTTTGATCTCTTTTTTAATTTATCTTCACGTTATTTTTAAAGTATTCATTTCTCTACTTATAAATTGAGATGTTTTACGCTGCTTTAGATTATCAAAACTAAATTAACATAGAGAAGAGGTATGGCAAAGTTTGAGATGAAAAAAATTATGTCAATTATATTTATGTTACTATTAGTTGTGGCACAAGCTGACGATTTTTCTCCAACTCCATCACCTTCAAAAAACCCAATTCTTAAGGGACTTTGTATAGCGAAGTGTGCTTTTAAATGTAAACGCTTCCTGAGAAAACCCCCCTTATATGCAGGTTGTATTGCTGTGTGTACACTATTGAAATGTCATAAGATATCATCAAAAATTGCTTATGAATGTGCAACTAAGTGCTCTATTTCAAACTCTAGAAAAGCTAATACAGGTAATTAACTTTTACTTTTATATTATTTTTTGATAAGAACTTTTAAATTTTACATTAAATTGTTTTATCAAACTAATCCTATTTATAATTGTGATAATTAATGACGTTTGTTTCCATAATTGACTATGTTTCAATAATTGACTCCTTGCAGGTATTCGAGGTGTTAATGTCATTGTGAATTCATGCTTGAAAGCTTGCAAAATATAAATAATTTATCACATGGTCCCCTCCAAGTTTGAAGAAAGATTAAGGTGTTTAAAACTAGATAATTACTTAAGTGTAATAAGAGGGTGTTTACATGTACGATAAATAACATCTTATTATTATTTTTCTATTATATGGAAACTAATATTTAATATTGAAATTTTTTATTTTGGTATTTTTTTACTTTTTAATAAAAAATAATACTATATAAAATAATTTTCTTTTTGTAAATAAAATAGGACAATAATACAATTATCACACAATAATAATTAAAGTGATAAGTGAAACAGTCTTTACAGACATTTAAAATATTTAAAAAACTTAAAATTATGATCAATCATACAAATTATTCATAGTTTTGTGACGTCACGAAGAATTGGTTGTTTATCTTTAATGTCTCATAACAGCTTATTAAAGGTATGCAAGCAAAAGGTAGTTTCTTTTCTTATGAATTTTTACTTTTATTTTTATTTTGTTATTATAAATAATATTAATTACTTCAATTTTTATTTTATTTACTTTTTCTTCTTTATTATTATTATTATTATTATTATTATTATTATTATTATTATTATTATTATTATTATTATTATATAATAATAATAATAATAATAATAATAATAATAATAATAATAATAATAATAATATACGTCCAAGCTCCAGGATTCAGAAAACTTTAGGTTCAAGTTTTCAATTGCTTTCTTCTTTTTGTTTGCGTTCTTCCTGAAACATTTCACAATATCAAAAATAAACTCACATTATTGTTTCTCCTTTGACAAGATCGAAACGAGATAGATGATATAGAAAATATAGATAAACAAGCTAAGAGGGATGTGCACCAAATAAGAAGAATATATAGATACACATGATACAATAGATGTTGACTATAATAATAATAATACAACAATTTTTTAATAAAAAATATTAATATTAATAATGATAATAATAATAAAAATGAATGATTTTGACATTACTTATAAAAAAACCATACCACAACGGTTGAAAAAAGAAATATCACAATGAATTACCAACTACTATGAGGTAAGGTAAAGGGTGGTTGTATGTCTCGTGCTTTCCATCACAGTCGCCAGACTACGGTTAACAACTGTTGTTATATATATTTTGGTATTGGGTTCGAAAACCAGCAGCTACAAAGTACATTTCATCACAGTTACAGTAGATAAATATTCTAGAAAGTATCTAGATATTATTATATAATATTTTTGAAAAACAACTTAAATTGTTTTTTAAATTACATGCACGTCACAACACATATCTTGCTTTTTAACATTTAGAATATAGTTCAGTGTCATATGTCCTTCATGACATCGATTGTTTCACTTTTAGTTTCATTTGAATAACATCAATTTATTGGTCAAGTCTACCTCTTCACTATCACTTATGATGATAATTGTGACGTAGACTTATCATCATAACAATCATGATGATAAGTGACAATAATGAGGTAGACATAGCCAATAAATTGATGTTATTCAAATCAAACTATTAGAGATGATGTCGATGTTATAAGGACTTAGGTCATTGAACTATATACTATATGGTAAAGAGCGTGAGATTAATTATGAGACCGGTGCATTTTGTAAAATGTTGATTGATATAAGTTGGTTTTCTAATACAATTTAATTTTTAATTTATAATTTTCTATGTCAATTAAAATGAATGAGTTTTCAAGGAAGGGTTAGTGAAACAAATAATATGCATACTATATAATAACTCAAGTTTATCTTTTATCAATCTGCATAAGAATTTAAAGAATAAAATATTGCTAAGTCACAAGAAGCCTTTTTTTTCTTATGACTTAGCTATATTTTGTTCTTGTTATGAGAATATTAACCAACAAGAACAACAAAACAACAACAACGTACAACAACATAAAAAACATATCTTCTATTAACTAAATACTAACAACATACAACAACACAAGATATTATAAAATATTTCAAGAACACGCCTTTTATTGAAAACAATCATTAAATTGGAGTCATGATGAAGTTCATATAGTTTATGTTGCTATAAAAAAGAAATACAAGGTGGATCAAATTTACACAATAACTTCATAGAAACACAAATCATATGTAGCATAGTCAAAGTATGTGCTTTATTAGGGTTTTTTTCTTTATTCACTTTCTTGTAAGTAAAAAAAAACACCAAGGCATTAATAGCATTACATGGAATATTCACCAAATGAAAAAACGAGAAATCATATTTAACAAGAAAGGCAAATGAAACCGGAACATAAGTTTAATGAACGAAACTCAAGGTAGCCATTGGTGAAGATGAATCTAAAGGTTACAGTATGTGTGACAAGTGACATGGATGTTAGGGTTATGTTTCGGGAGAGAAAAGTAAAATATGTTAGAGTTTTTATATAGAAACGACTTTCATATACTGAGTGAGATAGTTTCTCTTATATATTAAAAATTATCATTTTTTATCACGGTTGACAAGAAGAACCGTGATGAAATGATTGGAATTACACCACACTCGACTAAAATAATAGTGATAATTTATACCCTGTAACTCTTGGTATATCTCACTACATATTTAAACATTCATCGTAGCGAAATATTTTTTACTAAATACAAAAAAAATACGCCCAAAAATTAGATTCCACCATGATTAAAGAAAGACCGTTGTAATACTTTTTGACGAAAGGTATTTTATGTAATAATGTGAGAAATATAAACTGTTTAAAATTTTATTTAATTTTTAGGAATATGATCAAAATCATAAATGTAATTTTTTTTATATATTCACACCATTTCATAAGATTATTGTAGTATATATTAAAAATAGTTTTTTAAAATAAAAAATGTTTATTTATTAATAGATAGAATAACCTTGAAAATGTTATATTTTTATAAAAATATTAATATATTTAGAAAATAGACAAATTATGGGGTTGCTCAACTCTTAGAAACAACATTTGTTTGTATTTTCTCATAATTTATTATTGTAAACAAGTTGTTATACATATTGTCATACCTCAAATTTGTCTGCCTTAGTGCTACCGTCAAATTTATTTTCGAACTTGGGTTTTATATGGTGAATGATTCTTTTGGTTTAATTACATTAATATTTTGCGGCTTTTAATAAATATTCGCTTTTAAGTCTATTTAAAAATATAATAATTATTTGTATTTCTAAAAATAGCAAATAATTGTTCACCTTCATATACTTTCAATTGACTTTTTATTTTAATTAAGTAACATAGCAGAGTTGGTAAGAGATAAAGGCTTGCAAGTAGAAAGTCACGTGTTTGAATCTCACTTCCTGAAAAAAATCTAACTTTTTTTTTACTATTTTCGTATTTGTTCACCAAATTATGGACCAAATATTCAACCAATTTTCAATCTTCAAAATTATGACAAAAATAGATCAATCTCAATTAGTGCATTTTGGATAGTTTTTGTTACTTGCTATTTTCTAATTATTTTCAAAATCACAAAAATCATGTTTTTTTATTATTTAAATATTATTTTCGTATTTTTAATTATGGCATTTTAAAAAAAAAAAATTATTCATTTGATTTTATGCTGTTTTCATCAAAATTGAGTGGAAAAATCATAATAAATACCAAAAATATTTACTTTTCGAGATAATTGTTTCTTATTGGTTAATCTGCGTCAATTTGTGTCATAATCAACTTTTGATTGGTCAACTTGTTGACCAAGAAAGATCTGATTTATATTATTCCTTTTTTCCCTTTAACCTGATTTTGAAAGTCTATAAATAGGGTCATATTTTCACACTTCTAGGACATCCATAAATATTCACAATTTCCACAGTATTGACAATTTCCAACACTATCCTAACTTGCTTTTACAATTCTTTTTAGTTTATCCGAGGATTGTTGACTATATCAGACAACAGCCTAAGAACAATACACTTTTTCCTCCTTCACAATTTTCTGCACATTTACAAACAACGACTTTTTTTGGATCGATGAATTCATATGAAGCCCCCTAATTTTATTTTCGACTTTAGCTTTCCTGTTCTTTTTTTATACCACATGATGATTATTGATGGTTTTTATTTTCAAAATTATATTATTTACTAACTTTTTTCGGAAGCCAATTTTTAGATTGTATACATTTTTACGATCCAGAATCATCAACAATTTCACCAATAATTAACAAATCAACAACTCACTAGAGTTCTCCTAAAATTGTTGTTCTTCACATCGAAGAACAAAAACAAAGAAACATGAAGCCTCCATCAACCTAAAAAAAGTCTCTGCACTAAAGGAAAGAAGAAAGGAGATTGGAGGAAGCAACTTATATTTGGTCACGACACTTCAGGTTTGTTTCTCTTTTACCATGTTATTTAAACTTGTGCATGATTGCTTGTTGTTGGGTTAATTGTTTGATAAATTTCTTTGGTTGATGTATGAATCCAAAATTCAACTTGTTCTTTGTCTATGACTATTTTGTACATAATTCTTATTTTAAAATATATTTAGTTTTACTAATCGTATGTAGTTGTTATCGTTAACAATTATTACCATAATGTTATAAAGAAAACTACAAAAAAAACTTGTCTTTCACCATTGTTATATTTGTATATTAATTTGTGTATTTTATTTTTAAATATTAATTAAATCTGGTTACAAATCTAATTTTGACTGAAATTAATGTTAATGAAAAGAAATAAAATACAAATCTTTTTAGTCTTATTAAGCTAATAATTAAATATAACAAGTAAATATTTTTTTTTCTATAAATTCTTTATTCGTTAATTTTTTGTTGTCATTAATTAAGGGATTTTGGGATATCTTTTAGGAGTAGTAAGTAGGTTAATTTAGAATTAAATTAATGATTCTTTAAGCTATTTTTTTTATAGAAATTAGTTTTCTTTTTTTCATAAAAAACCACAAAACATGTTTCTCTTTAGCGTAGTTAAATATTAACCATATTTTCTATATCTATCAAATTTTTTTTTTCAAATTATATATATATATATATATATATATATATATATAT